AGTAAAGTTTCTCTACATTTAAGCTTGATTCTGAAATACTGTTTGCATTGTTTTGTCGTAGAGTTAGCTAATGTTCCTCACCTGTTTGAGCAGCCTTTCAGTGCAGTCTGTTTGTAACTGGCTTCCCTTCACTGAGCTGTTGTTTACTGCCTTCCTAGCCTGGCACAATTTCCATTTTCTCTCCCCAAAGGGTGTATTTGTGTTTAGAACACTTGCATGTGGGCTTCTGGAGTAGTGCAGTTCCTGCTAAAGATAGAACTTGTCTCCTAACAGAGAACCATCAGCTGGATGGAGGAGCAAAATGGCTGAAACTCTGAGCTCAATCGAGCCCTTGCACACAGGTGTTCCTAGTATTGGTACAGTTTTTCTGGAAAATGACTTAAAAAACCTGTATTTCAGAACAGAGTGAAAGTTTTGGTAACTGTTGTTTTATGCATGAATGAGAAATTCACTCTCAGTAAGTCATCTTTTTTTTCCATCTCCTTTCTTGTTTTTCCTCCCCGAGGCATGTATTTTGATGTAGCCAAAAGCTGCTCTTTTACTTCTAGCTAAATAACTCTTTCAAAATAAATTTCCACCTAAAGACATTTTCTGTGACATTTATACTTCAAGTCTTGTCTTCATTTAAAGATCTGCAGCACTTTTAGAATCACAAGACATTGTACTTCTAGTGTTTCACTTTTGAGCTGTCACCTTTGGTTTTATCTGCTAGTGGTTGTTCTAGTGAAACAGTGCAGGTATTACCTTTCAAGTTAACTGCTGCCTCTGTGAACCTTAGATACAGAAGGCAGTAGAAAGATGCCCTGGAACTTCCATAGTAGTACTGATAACATTAATGAGACTGCCATCACAGTGGAGTTGCTTGAGGTCACTGTAATAAAACCACTTATCGTTCTAATGCAGTACTTAATGTTGAGTTTCTCCTGCAGAGCAATGCTTTCAGTTTTGTTTTCACTTTCTCCTTACTTCTAGCTATAATCTCCAGAAGAAAATATCAGGTTGGACATTAGGAAACATTTTTTCTCTGAAAGAATGGTCAGGCACTGGCACAAACTGCTCAGGGAGGTGGTTGAGTTACTGTGTGAAATGCGTGAAAGACATTCAGATGTTGTACTAAGAGTTGTAGGGTAGTGGGGAAACATTGATGGTAGGCAGGCAGTTGGACTAGACGATCTCATAGGTCTCTTCCAACCTTTGTGATTCTATGAAACTTTACATATTTTCTGGAGGAATCAAATTTAAACTGTTTCGGAGAATAACTAAATTTTATTTTTGGACACTTTTGCTGTTTTGAGGGTTACAACTAAAGCTTGCCTAGTGGCACTCGTGTTTCAGAGTGTAAGCCTGAACTGTATGTATGCTTCCGTCCAGGTGGAAGCATTGCCATTTACCACTCGTTTTTATTATTAGATATGGTCTGATACAATCTCCAAAAGACCGCGACTGGTAAACAAGCTTGGCTTTAACTTCTATAGTCTGTTAATATTCACACAGTAAAAGCATGTGACTTTAGTAGTTTGTAACTGGTTAGTTACAACATTTTTGCATATACAATCCTGGCCGAACAAATCAGCTTACTGGCGCTGCTAGCAATGAAGGAAATGCTTGCAGAAGAGAGGCTGAAAGTAGGGATATATCCTAAAGCTTGCACAATTTGTTCATAGCTTTTCCTTGGTGTTTTTCAAACTGTGAGATACTCTCATATCTGATGTGAGGAGAAGGTTTGGTCTTTCACTGTTAGGGCTTTTGAACTTTATGTGCAGGAACGTGTGTGTCACAAGCTTGTGCTCTCTTAGCAGAAATGGGTTTTCTTGATACAGAAGAGTCATGTTAACGTGGAGTCTGCAGGAACTGCAGTATTTTTGATTGTGCAGTCTAAAAGCAATATGCTTAGGAATTTTCACAATCTGAATGCATGTCAAATGTATATGGAATGCTTGAATGCTTCAGAAAATTGTAATGGTTTTGATTCCTTATGTTTTCTGCAGATTTATGTCATTGCTTCTAATCCTTTGTTTTCTGCTATGTGGCAGAAACATTTCAAAACTTAATTCTACTGCCCCCCTCCTGGAGAACAAACGTGTCCTTATTCACATACAAGGAAATGTTAGCTCTGCAAATGTCACAGGAAGAACTGTATTGTCCTTCATGGAGCCACTTGAATGAAGTAACTATAAGGAAGTAATTTTAAGAAGTTCAACCCTGATCCCTCACGTTAAAAAATAATAATAATAATAATAATAATAAAATCTTCTGTAGGGCTTTAAGTAGGCAGATGTTTAACTGCAGATGTAAGGTACATTTTAACTTTATATAAAGAAGGAGTTTCCTGTTGTTTAGGAATGCTTGTGCTATTGACATTAAGCAAAGCCGCAAACACTGTAGTGTAGTAGTGCATTGGCTCTCTATGAGATGCCACCTGAGAACCTTGGATCCCCTATTTTTCTGCAAAAACTGTAACACAAGGGTCTGCTGGTGTCATGACATCATTTCTCATTCACAGTGGTAATTTTATGTAACAACAGGCTGGAATTGTGGAAATCAGCTAGCTCAGGCTCCCTGTCCTGAGGGAATTTCTAAGGGCCACACAGTTGATGTCATCAGCTGTGACATATGTTTGTATATTTTTCTTCCCGTGCCTCTGTCCTTGTACAGCACTTTGGAGAAAAGCTTGGTGACTCTTACCATGAGGGACTGCTTTTTTTTTCCCCTTAGATTTAGAGTTTATTGGTTCTCTATCAGTCATTAGTCAAATGTTATGCCTAATGTGTTATTTACTCGCAGCTTAGTGGGTAGTAATGGTGATGGAGGACTAGGTGATCGTGTAGGTCCTTTCCATCCTTGTGATTCTACGATTTTCAATTAACAGCTTGTAATACAGGTAGGTAATTTTAATCTGTTGGTGTTGTAAAAAACCTTTTTAGAATTGGAAGCTGCACGTAGTGACACCATCAGCCAACTAACTGATAGTGTCCTATTTCTTCATGCTCTCCGTATCCCCAGGAATAGCGTGAATTGACCGTTTTACAATTGCTGGCATAAAATGAACCAATCTAAATTGAAGAGAGATTATATTGACAACACTGGCATCCAGAACATGCTTGTTTGTAGTCTCCCCCTGGCTACATCAGCATATCGATTTGTAGGCTATCTGCCCATTTCATGTGAGTCGGAAAGCGGGGCAGTTTATTGGAGATTGCATTCTGAAGCTCGGGCTCTCCTATGTCTTTGTCAGTGTCAGACAGGATTGCTGTTTTAAGGAGAGGAATTTTTTTTAAAGGTATAATGACTTTTCTTGTAATACCAATTCTACCTGCATATATCGCAGGCGTTTTGAACTGTCAGAGCTCTTATTCTCCTCTGTCGTGCAAAACATTGCAACTTTCTGAATTCATCTTGGGGCTGTCAGCATTGTACGCCTATATTCAAATTGAGTTTTCAACTACTTTATGTTCCTCTGCATTTTCTTGTTGGAAATGGAGAAAGCACGTGCGCTTCCAGATTGCAGGTGGAACCCTTTCTGAATGAAGTGGTGTGTATAGCTTGCATACTGAACAGAACAATTTCTGAGTGAGGTAATGGTGTTTAAAATCTCTGTTAAGGCACTCTGGATCCCTCTGGCCCCAAGGCTGTGGCTGGGTGGCTTCTGGAGATTCCCAGGAAGGAGTGCTCTGTACAGGACCATACAGAAGTGCACCTGATGTTCAGAAGAAACCTCCCTTTTGTGGCAGGTTGTACATATGGTCCTTGCACTGAGCACCACTGAAATGAGCCTAGCTGTGCCCTCCCTTCAAGTTTTTATAGACATTGATGGCCCTGGGCCGCCTCTTCCTCAGGCTGAACAGGTCCAGCTCCTTCGACTGGGGTGTTCCAGGACTTCCATTGATTCAGGGACACCGTTCCTGGAAGTGTTTAACGGGCACGTGGACGTGGGACTCAGTAGGTCAGGTTGATTGTTGAACTTGATAATCTTCAAGTTCTTTTTCCCCCATGCGATTCTATGATTCTAATGTAGAGGATAAAATTAACTCTGTTTTGTTTGGCATTATAAAATATATTAGAATGTCAGTAGTACTGACATTGCTTGCTGTTGCATTTGCTGGCTGTCACGGAGCTACGTTGTTTCTGATAATTACCTGATGTGTAGAAAAATGTGGAGGCATGCAGTTGTCTTTGTGCAACTGGCAGATAGCTTCTGAAAAGGTAGTTTGTGCTATAGGGATAAGTAAAAAAGATTGCTAGGTCTTCGCTCTGGAGAAGTACAGTGAAGGGAAGAAATTGAGGAACATCCAGAATGCAGTGGGTGTTATTCTCCACCCAGCACAGGACTGGAGTAAGCTAGTCTCGTCCTGGCAGCAAAAACAAAGCAAATGCTTCTTCTAAAACTATGCTTGTGTGTTCCCTTCCAGTATATTCTGCACCAAGGCTTATGGGAGCAGTACCCTCTTGATGGCAGGGATTTCTTCATTGAATTATGTTATTACTGAAGCATTTTTTAACTTCCTACTATAGATGGATAACTTTAAATGCAGAAAACTTGCAAGTAATCTGGCTGTATGAGTGTGAGTATAGGATTTGTGTATTAAGTATCATAACCAGGATGGAAAGAAATACTGTTATTGTTTTTTTTTTTTTTTTCTCACTTTGAGTGCTAACTTCGGCATAGTTTTATAATGCTATATGCAAAAAACTAAATGGGTTTTATAACTTCTACTGCATTAAGGTATATCTGAATAATATTTCATATACATACAGGGGCAATCTTATGACTAGACTTTATTATCAAGGTGTTTTTATACTTCAGTGGCTGAAAAAGCAGCAAAGGTCACCGACTTTCCTTATTTTTAAAGAAGGGATATCATTCTGAGATTTATTTTCTCTATAGCACTCCCTCATTTTTCCCTTCCCCTTTCTTGCATATTTCAGAACTGCTTGAAAAATTTGAGCAAGACTTACAGAATATAATTGATTGGTGAATGTGTTTTAATATTTCGTTGCAGAAGGACTCCATGAAAGATGACAGAAGAAGTTATTGTTATTGCAAAGTGGGATTACACTGCACAGCAGGACCAAGAACTTGACATCAAGAAAAATGAGCGTCTTTGGCTATTAGATGATTCCAAGACATGGTGGAGGGTAAGAAACGCGGCCAACAAAACGGGATATGTGCCATCAAATTATGTGGAGCGAAAAAACAGCTTGAAGAAAGGTTCTCTGGTTAAAAATCTAAAAGACACGTTGGGTAAGTCCTTTTCTGTTTCTGAAGTCTAATACGCTTGATGTGCATCAGATTGGGAATGCGTGTAAATACTTCTGTGTGCTTTTTTTTGATTTTCTTTCAGTGATGTGTTAGATAATGACTGAGAGAGGGGAGGAGGGAGAGAGTAAGGGTAGAGGAGGATGGTGTGTAACCTATTTTTCTCACGTCATATAAAGGAAAGTAAGGTTTTACTTTTGTTCCAGATTGTCAAGGGTTATGTATTTTCAGTGGTTGAAGATCAGTGATTTCACCGTGTTAGGAATTGCTGAGACTTCTCCTCATGCCAGATCCTCTCAGAAATATGAGGGTGTAAATGGGTTGTTCAGCATTGCTGTGATAGCAAAATTCAGTCACTTCATAAATGGGGTTATGTGGTGTGGCTGTGTGCAGTGTCAAGGGGTTATGCTTCTGTTGTCTGATGTGATGATCCTTCTGCCTACAAGCTTAGTATGTGCTCTGTGTTTTATGTTTGAATTTTTTTTTCACAAGTGTATCATCAATTAACATAGCTTTGAAAAACTGAGTGCATTTGGAAGAAATATATTTGGAAGTCAAATTAGGTGAGGGTTTTTTGTTATTTTTGCAATGATGTTAGTGACTTATTAAGTTATTGAAAAATGAAGGGTTATACGTATGGTTTGTTAAGGTTAAACATAATGATAAATGGTCAGATTGCTTATAGAGGCCCAAAAAACTGCTAGTTGGTGCTTTTGGATGTAGTGAACAGAACGGTATGCATGGAGGTGTTTTGGGAGTGTTTTTACTTGTTGTTTGGGTTCTTACCTGTGATTTGCAAACTCTTATGTAGGGGAAACTCATTCTTCTTCAGTTTTATGTAGAAAATACCAACTCGACAGAAAAATCAGAATTTGGGATTAAACTTGTTAAAAAACGAAGAAGTTCTCTTAGAAGTATCATGGTCACTGCTCATATAGTTTTATTTCAGGTGTTCTGTGTGAGTGTTGTGTCGAATAAAGCTCTTGGTCCCTTTCTCATTGCTATGTTACCCACTGCTGAGCTGCAATAAAGAACATGGAAATTGAGGATAGCAGAATGACAGGCAGTCAAACAAGGTTATAACCAAATGTAAAGGGATAATGTTTAAAATAATGGGCCTTTCTGCAGTTTTTCTTGGATTGGAATGCCAGAAAATGTAATCATGCCTCTTCAAAGATCTGTACGAAGAATAAGTTCCAAGATAAATTAACTTGTTAAGATCAAAATCCAAATTGTAATTTTAAGCTCCTTTATATAGACTTTGTTTATATGTATGTACATACTCTAAAATTATTTTATGAAAAAGTTGCCCTTCTGTTGTGATAATGCATCAAGTGTTTGTGTAAAAATGTGGAAAGCACTTACCTAAATAAACAAACTCTTTACATCCAACAGAAAAACAGGGAAGGAACTGGTGTCCTCACATATGTTCAAGGTTACCTCCTTGGCCCTCACAAAAGCTGTGTGCTTTTCACTGAACTACAGTGGTGACCAAAAAAAGCATGAAGCATGAGGAAAGCATGGTGGTTTTGTATATGAGCCTTCCCTCTTGTTGTGTCTTTCAGACCTTGACACACTGCATGCAGTTCTAAAGGACAATAGCTGCAATGTGTCAGTTCTTCTGTATATCTTTTATTTTTTTCTGTGTATACTTCTGTTGAGGCTGTAAATGCCTCGTGACAAGACCCAGGTTTCTTTTTTGGAGAGACCACATGTATCTGCTAAGTGTTCAAGAATCTCTTGTGCTCATTTATGCTCCTACTTCCTGTGGTGATAAGAAACTGCCCAAGCCATTGATAACCCAAAGATCAGCTCAAGTTAAGTCTGACACCCTCTCACAAGCAAAAACACAGATGCTTGAGTATTTTTTCTTTATGGTTTAAGTAATGTGAACTGCTCAGTGTGGTGATGCTTAAGCTTGTCCTGTGTACCCGACCTATGTACAATTTTCCTTTTTCCTGTCTTGGGTTAGAGTTCCTCTGTGTAATTTTGTCTTTAAGCCTTGCATGTCTTACAGTTGTTTCCCACTCAGACCAAAGAGGAGGTGTGTCCTAACTTAGAGGATGCTTTGTGCTGAGTAAGCAGCAAGAACGCAATCATATTTATTTATTTATTTGTTTGTTTGATACTCATGTTCTCCACATAGAAATAAGAAAATTCTTCTAAGATCACAAAAAAAAAATTAAAAGCTCACTAATTCAGTACAGATGGGTATTGGTGGTCATGAGTGTTAGCCCTTAAGCCTCAAATTACAAGCTATCACCACAATAATAGTGGTCGGGGGAATGGGGTGAAAGAAAATGAGTTATTTAATAATCAATAAGTCAAATACTAATCTTATGGAATCGCCAGAGACAAATTGCAGGTCTTTAGCTGCTTTCTGTGGCAAGGGTAATGGTCTTTTAAAGAGAGTGACCACAGAGTTGTGCCTGGATCCACCTTTGGAACTGCAGCACTCCAGCAAGCTGTTGATCCTATGGAGATCTGCTTCTCCCTATCTCTAATTTAATCGATACCGTAACCATTTAATTAATGGTCGCCGTAGTTCGCTGTTGAAGATGCGGCAGCTGAGTAATTTTTCATCCATGTGATGTGTGTTCTAATGAAAGCTTATGATACCAGTTAACATGATGGTATGCCATATAGAAAAGCCAAGTATGCTGTGGAAGCTTCATTAGCTATTTGCTGTTACCTCTATCGAGAACATTTTTAATCTCATCAGAAGATGAACTCGTGCTTGTTTGATGAATACTGGTTTCCTAAAATTGTTGACTGTCGTTAATTGAATTTCAGACCTTTTAATAATTTTTAATTGAATCCCATCAGCTTTCCTGTTGTTTGGCTTGGGGTTCAAGGGAGGTTAATGAGCTCGTATGTACCTGGAACACGCAACTTGCTATTCCAAGATAGTTGCCCATTTTCAGCACAGTGTTGATCTTCTGGAATTTCCATTGTAGTTTGCAAAAAAGAACATTGGCAAATAAAACATGTTCAGAGCCAGCTCTTTTAAATGCATTGAATGCAAATTAAAAGGCTGATTAACACTTGTTAGCATATGTTCATTAAATCAGTTACTTCTGGACTGAAAACAAGCTCACCTGGAGTCCCAGATGACCTCCACCAACTCTGAAGTATACTCTTGTATTGTCTTACTCTTTTTGCAAAACAATAGTCTTCTCTGCGCCATTAACTTTATTTTCTTCCTTCTAAGGGCTTACTCTGTTGTTCTGTATCCTCTTTTAGTCCTTTCAACTGGGAATTTTTCCAAAACTACTTGCTTTCCTGAAGCGGCTTTGAGAGATTTGAAGACTTGTTATTCTTGTGCTGATATCTGTTTGGTTTCATCACCTTTCTGTTTGATACTACTTCTGTATTCTTAAATCTCTTTTCTCAACTGAACTCTGCTACACTCATAGCTACAAACTGTCTGTTTTTAATGAAGAAAATGTAGAGCTTAGGCCACCAGCTAAGTATTTTAAATGATTCAACTTCATTCTCTTTTTTGTCTTAACTAAGCGATACTGAAAGTAAAAAGCTAATGGCAATTTAGCCATTTTAAATTACAGTCTTCTGTTTGCTCATATTGAATGAAATCTGGTAATTATTACTATTCTTTAGGCAAAAACCAGTTTTCCAGGCCTGTGATTAAAATTTCATCTTCATTCATTATAATGAAGTTTAAAATAGTTTCCTCGGAACAGTGGTTCTTTTGCGGGGAGGATATTTTTTATACATTTCAGTTAAGTGCTAAATGAAAGACCTCCAGCATACATCTCCCAAGCAGAGAACTTCTGTAACAGTTATTGCCACGTGTTGGGATCCTGGTGCTAGCAGGATCTGAATGGATGCTTGCCATTACTGCCCCAGAGCTGCCTCTGAGATCTCTGCATCCATGACCAAAGGATCCCATTTCTGCAGCAACAGTGGTAGGCCTGCTTCTTCATCTCTGCCCTACTGCATAGAAATATTATCCAAAGAAAGCACAAACATTTAAGAATATGCTTGTAACAAAAATAAAAGCCCTACATTTTTTCATTACTTTACAAGTCACTTTCCTACCACCGCTGCGGCTCCTGAGACAGCAGCGTGCAAACGGTGAGCAGTGAGAGGAGTCTTGAAACGCTGCGCTGGTGCTTATTTATGTCTGTGATTTTTCTGACAATCGCTTTTGCTTCTCAACCAGTACTGTGTGCTGGTAGTTTCTTAAAGGTGTCCCATCTTACTCCCTTTAATAAACAACTGCATTTAAAAAACAAACAAACCTTTTAAAGACACTTCAATTTTTGATATTTTTTAGCAGATATCCAACAAAAGAAAGAAAAAGTTTATTAGCAGACACTAAAAGTACAGGAGTCGTTTACAATGTAGGAACAAAAGAAACACTCTAGAGGTGAGTGCTGATAGTGATGGCAGATAACTTGACGAGATACCACAGAAGTGTTCAAGCTGTACGAAACTCCTCACGTTTCTTCTTTATTAAGCTTTTATACATCAGCAAAATATTTCAGTAACTTTTTCAGATGCAATTCACTTGTTATATTTCACAGGGAAAGGAAATGTTGTCAAATGAGATAGAGAGAAAACAGTCCCTATTTGCATCGCTGTTCCTCTAGAGTTACTTCAGAGTGTTGAGTGTAGAGAAGCAATTTCCTGTGTTTATGAACCTCTGAGTTGTTTACCTTGATCAATCTGTAGATCCCTGCTTTGGTTCCTGACTGCTTGTATATTGTTGTTTCCAGAAATCATTGATTTTATACCTTTTTTCTCTCCAGTGTATTTTTCCTTTCATTTATTTCTGTACATTTATATGAAAAGCTTTTATTCCCACTTCCATATTTAACATTTTCCCGTGCAAGAGCAAATTAATACCATTTCTACTGTGTCTTTCCAGTAACTAGAGGGGAGAGCTGGTTCTTTTTGTTTAAACACTAGCTCTAGTAAAAAGCTGAAGTACAGAATTTCTAACGTATTGTTTCTTCAATATT